AAGTCAAAATGACTAAGTGGTTAGTTTGGATTGTCGTTTGGTTTCATTGATAATTCTCATGCTCGATGTACTTGATGAATTTGACGGTTCCCTTAAAATTAAATGAAGATTTGTTGACATTGGAAACCACAATTGTGTTCGAAAAAATTGTTTTGTCCCTTGTTTATTCTCGATTGGTGATCTTGAAACAATCTTGTCTTATGTTCGATTATTATTAACGTGTTATGCTATACACTTGTGTTACGTCTTGATTGAATTATGATGTTCATGTTATTATATTCATGATGTATCCTTGTGTTACCATCCCTTTAAAAAAAAAAAAAAAAAAAATATTGTAGAGTTGAGCTACAGGGCGCAACACTGGTCACAACTCTTTTCTGGCGCGGAAGTCTAGCGCAGATTTTCACACAACTCCAGCACAAGAAACTAAATCTGGCGTTGCGCTGGAGACGCTCTAAGATGAACTGAGAAGTTTGTTAAAATCTAGGAGGTATGAATATGGGCTTTCCATCCTATCCTGGCATTTCACCCCATTGTATAAGATTGGGTTTTCATTATTGAACTGATAGTTTAATACACATTCATGAAGGTATGCAGTGTGTGCAAGTGATTCTATAGTAAAAATTTCGATGTGGTGAACAATACAGTCGAACACCTGACATATCTTCAAATTTTAATTATGAGTGATACAAAGTGAGTGTTGAATACACAAGTATCCTACGAACTGAAATGTTATTCAGTTCTTACAATATGTATTAGAATGTCGCTTGTGAGTTGTCCCACATCGTTTATACATGAAAAATAGACCCACCTTATAAGTCTAATGGGCTACTCCTCCTTCAATCAATTGGTTTTGGGATGGAACCCCACTTGAGATTCATCTGGGCTTTCCCTGTTATGGTGTGCTTCACATGCATAGGACCGTACCCGTTTTCCCCCCGTTTCTTACATGGTATCAGAGCCAGTTCTACCGTGCAATGATGTACCCGTTTCCCCCACGTACCCGTTTATGGGAGCCTGTTTCTAGTAGGGCTTGGGGCACACAACTCTGTATATGGACTTGAGCTTCTTATTAAGAACTCACAAGTGAGAGGGTGTGTTAGAATATCACTTATGAGTTGTCTCACATTGTTTATACATGGAAAATAGACTCACATTATAAGTCTAATGGGCGATTCCTCCTTCCACCAATTGGTTTTGGGATGGAATCCCACTTGGCTTCATCTGAGCTTTCCCTGTTATGGTGCGCTTCACGTGCGTGGGATCGCACCCGTTTTCAAAAGAAAAAAGTACTATGTTAAGCGGAAAGATTAAAGCAGAGGCGAGAAGTCTCTTTCCACAAGACAAATACGCCCTCGTATAGTGCATCTTGTCATAAAAAATATAACGACAAACGTCTCGAAAGATGTAGCACAATAGACTTCAGAGAATTGACGAACAAGAACAGAGTCGAAAACTGAAAACTTTTGATATGATGAGTGAGGCTTTTGACAGTGAAATGCACATGATCTTGTGTGTGTTTTTGCAACTCTACGTGTACTGTTTATAAGACTTTCAACCAGGTAGGGAATGACCAAAGGTCATTTGCTACTAAAGGCAGGTAATAACTCAGTCATGGCTGTTGTAATGGGCAGAAAACCACCAGGTGTTAAGCATGCTTTTTGCAGGTGTTAATACACCACTACTCCACCTAAAATGGTCAGGTAGAGTCAACATGTCCAGATACAATGTATTTAGAGAGGTCTCTCACGGGTTGGTTCAAACGCGAGTCCAAACTCAACTTGATTTGGATTCTATTTTGGTCCGCAATTTGCAAATTTTGCAGCAAAAAGATTATATGGACTGGGACTAAGGCCCAAGCCCAGGCCATCCAAGTCCAGGCCATAGTCCAATTGCAAGTACCAAGTCTCTAGCCCAGGCTCGTGCCCGTGCCCGTGCCCGTGCCGTACCGAGCCGGCCGGCTGGTGCGCGTGCGCATGACCGAAGCCATCACCAACACTTGGTGCATAGCTTTGTTGTTGTTGTGACATCTCCAACTCTGATTATTATAATAAAGAGAAATTCTCATTTAAAGGTCCAATGTGTGATATGACATTTTTCATTTTCTTGCAAATTGAGGTCTTGCGTGCTATAAAGATTGAATTTTGTTTGTTAAAGTTTGCTTCTTGTTTTCATTTTAGTTTAAAGTTGTGATCTTTAAAGTAATTCAACCATCCAAAGTGCGAGTAGAGTGTTTAAGATTTTTATTTTCCCTTTTGTGTGAAGCAATCGTTGTTTGAATTCGTGTCCGAACAACTTTCATTTGAGAGATGACCTGAGATTGGTCTTTAAGATCGTAATCGTTAAAAGCACTACAAACATCACTCTAATACTGAAATTAAGAATCTCTTCAGCGAAATTGTGTAGTCAAGAGATCATACTAGACGAAGAGGGTTGAGCGTAGTGGCGCATACCTCGCTCGGCGTATCCTATATCCCGAGTTTCGAGTCACCTGAAAGAGAATTGGGGAATCAGTATTAATCCTCCTGTGT